GGTAACATCATCATCATTACATATTGCCAAGATCGTCTTTTTACTTATATTAGGGGCTAAGTCTTCGTCATCATCATCATCATCATCATTATTATTATTTCAGGCATTTGCCTCTTTATATCGGATTTCTGATGGTTATCGACGCTTATAAGTGAGTGGCATTAAGTCATTTCATGTTTCTAGAACATTTCTCGGTATCCACACAGATTGCCTTACAGTAAACTGGACCATTTTAAATTCTTCTTTATATTTTTTCAAAACTTATTCACTCTTGACTTTAATGTTTTCCTAATTGATTTACATATCCAAGACTTATAACTAGTGACTTCAATTGTCGACATTATACTCTTTAATTTTATCACTTCTCTGGCAATATCCAGATAATTTATTCTTTTTTAAAATTGTTTGACCCTTTTTTTCTGAGCTCTGTTGGAGGAACCGCACTCAGGAAATACTGTAGTTTGTTTTCATGAAATGGTAACTTCATTTATTCGCCTGACCTGGGTTGGATGATCTGTTTAATTTTTTTAAATTTGCAATGTTACTCAATTTGTTCATCCAGTAGAAAAAATTCTGAATTAAGTTTCCATCATATATCTGAATTTTAAATCTCAAGTCATGTACACAATTCTTGTATGCTTACTTTACAGTTATTTCTACTACTATTAATAATCTTCTGACTAGTATTTACTTCATGGCGTTCTATACTACATGAATGATCATGGTGCAAGTAAGGAGCAGAAATCTCGTTGTTCCTCTGGGGGTGATGCATTTTAGTTCCCTGTGGTAGTCAATTTAAAAAATTCAAAAACTTCTTTGTTTTACACCTGAAGCAACTATAAAGATTTATTTCTTTTCGTTTCTTCGTATTCGCCATATTATTTTGTTTGTTAGAAATTAATTTACAAATTTTCACTTGAATTTAATTTAATATGCTTCTTTTCTTCCTATAAACAAATACACGAATGATGAACTAATTGGAAAACCTATTTTCCTGAAAAAATGTTTTATTGAGAAATATTTTATAAATTCCCACTGGCAGTAATATTGACTGCTAGGTCAATGAAAGTTAGGTTTGTTTTGTTTTGCGGTATATCAAGGTCAATGGCATAATTAATGCTGACAAGAATTTTATTGTTCTTAATATTTTTGTTCGAAAATATATTTCTGTTAATATTTATTTTCAAAAATGTATTGCTGGTGATATTTATTTTCAAAACTCTATTGCCGGTAATTTAAAAAATGTATTGCTGGTAATTTCTTTTTCAAAAATGTATTGTTGGTAATTTTTTATTTTTTCAAAAATGTATTGCTGCTAATATATTTTTCCAATCTGTATTGCTGGTAATTTAAAAAAATGTATTGTTGGTAATATTTTTTTTTTCAACACTGTATCACTGGTAATATTTAAAAATGTATTGCTGGTAATATTTTTTTCTTCAAAAATGGATTGCTGGTAATTTAAAAAAAAATTTATTGCTGGTAATATTTATTTCTTCAAAAATGTATCGCTTGTAATTTTTTGTTTTTTTTAGAAATGTATTACTGGTAATATTTTTTCTTCAAAAAGTCATTGCTGATAATAATCTTTACAAAAATATATTGCTGGTATTAAAACATATTTTTTACATTTTCATTAAATTTTGACCCCAGTTTGGGGGCTAACTATTTGCCCATAGCTGAAACCCTAACAGGAGATACCACCCCGGATCAGGGTGGACCTGGAACACCAGCAAATAAGAGGTGGTTACACGATCCTCAAAACCTCCTGATTAGAGGCTTTGCTTTCGAATTTAGTTTATCGTCTCACCCAGGACGCGGATGTAGCTTATCGTCTTACCCAAGACGCCTCCTTTTGTGCCTGTGTGTGTGGGGTTGTGGCTGTTAGCCGGCTACAGCGTATTCTGACGCCCCAGCTGACTGGGCCAAAATGCCAAATGTTTTCTTATAAGGAAACGGCTGATATTACCATTATCCTTACCCCTACCATAACAAATTTGTAGAGTTCCCTTCTTATATGATTAATCGTTTCATCACACATGTGATATTTGCTATAATTCTTTTTGGATCGAGTCTATTTTGGCTTTTATTTTGTTTGTTCTAATACATCAGCAAGATTCCGTTTTTGAAAATCCTTCCAGATTTTTATTAGATTTACTGAATAAGCTTTTACGAAGAAACAAAATAATGCCATTCACCTGATACCAATTATTCCTGCATTCAGTATTTTAGCTGATTGTTGTAATACTGTCGTTTGTACAATATTTCCTTGAATTTAATTTTTATTTTTTCATTTTCTGTTCATGTTTCTTTGGGATTGTTTCAAGCACGCCAGAAATGATAAATGCCGTTGTCTCTTTCATGTACGACGTTTGTTTGTCATTTTTCTCCAGAAGTCGTTCACATTTTTCTGCATAGGGTCATTCATTAGATTTACCTTATTTGATGCATTTCTTCTTCTTCTTCTTCTTCTATTATTATTATTATTATTTTCTGCTTCTTCTTCTTCTATTATTATTATTATTATTATTATTATTATTATTATTATTATTACAGTATTTCGTCAATTTTGTCGGATTTCTTTTTTCAAACAAAAGCCGCCATCAGCTATGACTGCATATGCGTTAAGATCGCTGAAGTTGTTCCCCTTGGATCGGACTGTTAATAACGTCTGACAAATAATGTCATTGATTTTCAATAGCTGTCAAAAGATTTTGAAGTCGAAAGACTCTACATAAAAACAATAAGAAATAAAATAGCAAAAATTTAAAACTGAGACCCTGCTTGCTTTCTTTTTTTTAATTTTTTTATTATTTTTATCTTAATTGATAAATACACCACTAATTATCGATATTAATTGAACCTGCAAAATTAGAACATTTTAAATCCTCAAAGCTTGTACTAGAATAATAAAAAAGTACGGATTTTGCTTTTGCGTGCGCGCACACACAGACACATATTGGGAGTGAAGTGATTATCTTTCTTTAATTTTTTTTCATTTTAAATTTGTTATAGCTATAAAGAGTAGGGAGACAGCGGACTAAAACATCAAAATTTATAAGAATGATTGTGGGTGGATATGATATATAAATTCTATATAACAGAATGAAGAGGGGGGCAATTGAATAACAAAACACTAAATAATGTAATGCGTTTTGTCCGACAAAATGGCTTCTTAATGTTCTTGTTGATTGATCTCAAATAGATGCAAGGAGAACGAACGAAAATAGAAACAAACGTTGGTTATAAATAAACATCAAGAGAAAAACGCAAAACATACAGGGACTCTTAAATTTTAATTTTCAAATTCTGGCCTCTGATATGCCACGATGTATATCACACTTTCAGTTTCTGACAGCTTTTGATTTTGTTATTGTTGGTTTTAAATTAATGTCTCATGCATAGAGACGAAGATAAAACTATTAATCATATTATAAAGTTGTACATCTAATTAGCGCAGAAGTGCATGTAGCCACATAACTGGATAAGAATGGTGATCCATTGGGAATTGTGCATGCAGTTTTTATTGGAACACGCAAACCAAAGGTCAGCATCGAATTAATATCTCCTAGAGTATAAAATAGCAACATTATGTAGGATTTGAAGTCCAGATCACAACTACCAGGAAAATCATCTCCTAGATATCGTAAAGAAACTGAATAACTATTTGAAATTGGATGATACATAGAAAATGAGTAAAAAAGTTTAAAAAATAAAACAAAAAAGTACAACCATTATTTGGACGTTCTAAACTCTCTGCGGAAAGATAAAAAAATATATATTTAGACGGTAGCATTACTAAACGAATATAGCATACTGAAAACAAAAATAATGTAAACATTGGTAGGAAACTCGAAAGCGTTAAATACACTCCCATGTTACGAAAGTGATTATACTAGACGACCCGTGACTTGTTGAATCTCTGCAACATTAAAAAAATTGTCTCTTTGAAGAAAGTTGAAATAAAAAAAAAACTTTTAAAAACGATTCGTACTTTTAAATCAGATTAGCTTAAAAATATTTTTTAATATACTAAAAAAAGTTTTAAAATGATATTTATTTGAAAATATTTTTAAAAATGTCAAAAAATATTTTTTACATTATTAAAAATATTGTTTAAGTATAAATAATTACACTACATATTGTTTAAGTGTAAATAATTACTCTACATATTGTTTAAGTATAAATAATTGCTCTACAAACAACTGAACAAAACAGCAAAGCAGGATCCTTTTGTGTCTGTTTTAACTGTAAAATATTTTGATGAAAAAAATGTTTGAAGTTAAAATAAAAATGCTTACTATATAAACAAATCGTAAATCATTATGTGCCGGACGGACGCACCACACAAGGACGAAAGCACGCACACAATCACAGACTTTTAGTATTATTTAGGATTATATAGATATAACGCATCATTCGTGACTGCAAAAGACTATCCGAAACAGATTACGAATCTAGTCGGAGTTTAGTATTTATGTTGAAATTTTCTTTTTAAGACCGTGTCCATCGCAAGTGGCGGACCTATATTTTTTTGGGGGGGGGGGTGGCTGACGCTTACACAAATAAGGAAGTCCTTTCGCTACCAACAGCAATAGATACAAGGATCCAGTTGCAAAAATTTAGGCGATAAATTAACCACCGTGGACCATTACAGAATCTTGGTGAAATCGTATATTTCGAATCCCAGTGTGACTTCAGGCCTGAGGGTTCCATGATTGATATGATCTTCTCCCTTTGACAACTAGAGGAGAAATGTTGACAAGAGAAACAACCAGTGTACATTGCCTTCATCGACCGCAGAAAAGCATTCGACCATGTGAGCAGAGACGACTCCATCGAGATTCCTAGCGATGTTCAGCAGGGAGATTCCTCCGTAACACTTGCATTTGCTTCAGTTCCCCTTATACTTATAAAGTTTGACTATGTTTCCGTCTCTTATATCCTTAGGCACTGTTCCCTCTTCCCATGTCGCCAAGTAGAATTTTTTGGCGCACTTAATGGCCACTGGTGGAATGTCATCCAGTCCTGGTGCCTTTCCTCTGGGTAACTTGTCGATGGCTCTGCTCAGCTCCCCAACAGTCGGCAACGCGACCAGTCACTTCATGACCGACAGACAAACTACTCTGTCTACTGCATCGTACGAAATACTCCTTTACCTGGAGTACAGTTCTGAGTAGTACTCCATCCACTTCCGCATTTTTTTTGTCTGCGTCCTGGATAATATTGCTGTCTTGCATTTAGTTGGGTCGATAACGTTCTTGATTCCTTCTGTATTCCGCAAATGTTGCCAGTGTCGAATGAGAACTGTATCCCCTCGTACAGCTTGTGACAATAGTCATTCGCACAATGTCTAACTGTGCATTGTTTCTGGCTGTCCTCAATGCTTGCAACTGAATAGGTTGGTGTTTGTTCCCCAATGGTGCGACCCACTCCTTCTCAATGGCCACGTTATCTCATTCGCACTTGCATCGAACCAATTGAGAGTTATGCTCCTATTCCCCTCGAAAATGTTCAGTGCAATATTGTGGATGATGTCTTTGAGAGTATCCAATTTCTGCTGGATTGTTATTCTAGATGGGTTTGCAAGGAGAGCGTCTATCAGAGACTTGATGAATATTGTCAATTTGGTTTAGTTCTAGATCGTGGTGGCATTGTTTGGTAGGAGACTTGGCGTAACGCATCTTCATGGGTTGGAGTCTGAGTTTGCAACAAACCAGGAAATAATCCGTGTCATATTCGACGCCCTGAATGGATCACGTCATGAGCACTTTTCTCGGGTATATGTGCCTCACAAGAATCAAATCTAGATGATGCCAGTGTTTAGAGCGGTGATGTCACTAGGAGCATTTGTACTGGACTTTGACCTGGAAGTATGTGTTGGGACGCATAGTCCGTGAAACACACGTAGCACGAGCAGTCTTTGGTCATTCAATGTACCAACTCCGTACCATCCCAGAGAGCGTTAGGCTAAGAGTCGTTATCAGCACCCATCCTGGTGTTGAGGTCGCCAAGTATTAACAACTGTTCCTCATTTAGAATTGTTTGCATCTTTGGTAGCTGATCGTAAAACTCCTTTTTGACGTTTTGTGAGATGGGGCGTAAGCGCTGAAAATTTTTGATAGTTCCATCAAGGGTATGCAGTCGAAGTGAGTAGATTCGCTTCGATTCATCATTGATAAGTTCAACCATCTTCAACAACGAGCTGTTCACAGCAAAGACGACACCGTGCTCTCTGATCCCAAACTTGCCTTTTCCACCAGTAGAAAGTAGACTCTCTCTCTCACGAAGGGTCCCCGACTCTGGTAGCCGTGTCTCTTAAAGTGCTGCAATATCCACTCGAAGCCGTAGTTCCTTGTTAATCACTGCCGTCTCCCTAGTGTTGTTAATCCCTCGAAGGACATCTGTTAGACCAGTTGTCATAATCCCTACCAACATCCATTTGTTAATGCCGTTTTTTTTTTTTTTTTCTTTAATTCCTCGTTATTTTTCTTGGTGCAGTATTTTCAGATGTTGATTCTGGATACTTGCATTTCTAAGCTCCACGGACCCATTGAAGTAGGCGGACTGTAGCGAAACAGCAACTTATTGGCTGTAGGCTGCCTAGCTTTAAACGGGCGGTAGATGACCTCTCTCTTCGTCGAAAACAACATGGCGGTTGCCCATGCAGCACGTCTCCTCTCTCCACATCGCCTATGTTGTTCAAGTTAAATGTAGAATCGAATACAGCTTGAATTACAGTCGAATTGCCAGAACGAAGTTGAACATAACATCGGACTTAGTTTCTCCGGCACCGGAATTGTCCTCAAGGTTTACTCCCGAAGCCTTTCCTATGATTGGGTATCGCCGTGAGGCAGAGGAGTTTTAAAATCAGAGTTTTCCTTTTCTTATAATGACTACCCCCACGAGCTGAAGAGTTCCATCTACCCGACGTATATCAATACACGCATAAACACACACATACATTTTACACTGAACGGCGGAGTAAACAGTTCGCCATGAAATGTACCACTTTAAGAATAATTATAATATATTTTTTAAATGATAATAACAGAAATCAGTAAATAAAAAAAGAATAAAGGTATAAATTATCATCAAATATATGAGAAAATTTTCTTCCGTTTCTTTTTCTTCTTCTTCTTCTTCTTCTTCTTCTTATTATTATTATTATTATTATTATTGTTGTTGTTGTTGTTGTTGTTGTTGTTGCGGTTAAAATATATGAAAGATAAATAATAGAACAAACAGACTATCAAAAAACAATAAGAAAAATGAGGAATAAACCAAACAAAGTAAAGATATCGAATAGATTTTCCAACAGATTTGAAAATGCGTCCTTGTCCATGAAAAATGTTATGTTGCAATTAATAAGAAAAGGATAAAAGAATAAAATTAGTCAAATGTTATTAAAAAATGTTTGAATGATAAATGATAGGGAAAGAAATAGACGATATTGAAACTATAGTCAAAGATAAACAAACATTACAACTCGAAATCCTTTTCCTAGAATTTTTAAAATTACTTCTTTCATAAAAATGAGAAATGGTACGCTTAATTATAAATAGAGTAGAATTATTCATGCCAATGTATAAATAATTTAACAAATATAATGACAAAATATTCTTAATATAATAATTCTTAGTGAGATATTCTTAATTTAAACTTGCCAAATATCACTTATTTTGAAAATAGAACATCCCATGTATACCACGACTTATCTTAAAAAATATAGAAATATGTATTTTAATAATTAAAGATTATCAATCCATAAAAATATAATAAAACTATAATATAATAAACAAATAAAAATTTAAGAATAAATGGATAATTAAAATAATCAAGACTTTCATTTTAAAACACGACATCGCTTTCTTTGAACAATGAAAAAAAATTCGTTCACTCTGACGTCAGTGTTTTCAAAACGTCTGGATGTGAACTGCGATTTGTCAAAATCATATCAGAGCGAACGTTTAAATATATTGGAAAACAGAGGGCTGAAAATTCGAATAATGAAATAGAATAGCGAAAGATGACTTCTAAAATCTAAGAAAAGTATTAAGAGACAGGGAAATTTCATTACAAATAAATAAAAATGTGCTCAACACCCGTGTAATGTAAGTCCTTTTTAATGGCAGTGAATGCTGGATAATTTCCTTACAGATGAAGAGGGCAATTCGAGTAACAGAAATGTGATTCTGCAGAAGAAAACTAAGAATACCATGGACCGAACATGTGAGTAATAAGGAAGTTTAAAAGACAATGGAAATAATAAAGAACACTTATACTTAAAATCTAAAAAGACAGTCGAAATATCTAGAAAACGTAATGAGAAAAGCGGGCTTGGAAAATCTGACACTGACAAGGACATATTTATTGCAAGAGGGACAGAGGGAAAAAGCGAATAAACTAACTTAAAATCTTGTATAAATGAATGCATTACAGATAATAAATAAAACATCTAGTAAAGAAAACGGAATTTTAACGCACATTTAATATTCCACATCCATTTACTTTCGAACTAATCAAATGACCGGTTTATAAGCTGTTACGTCGCTCTGCCATATATGTTACTTCTTCTATTAGAAATTCTGCTATAGGTTTTTCTCCAGTTTCAAAACAATTTTTTCACTCGATCAAAATATTGGATTATATATTTGTTCGTTTTTTTATCCATCGCTGGTACTTAAATGTAGGTGTGTAAGTGGATCAGAGACGTTTTCATTGAGTGCTTAAGACATAATTCAGTCACGTGACATTTATGATAACGACCCTGACCAAATGTCTAATCCTACCAGGATCTGGAACCCTGGAGCCTGACTATGGTATATGGATTGTTATATATACCTATATCTCGAGGCCGTGTAATGGTTAGCAATCCTGGCTCGCTAGAACAATTACGACTGAGTAGTGAGATCGATGCTCACTTGGTGCCCCCTAATTTCGGCCTTGTGCCACATCTAAGGTACGCCTCGAAAATCAATATATATACCTACATCATGATGATTAAAAGCCCGCCAGTTATTCTATTCTAATAGTTTATTCGCTTGTACTGTTTGCTTGTAAAAATCTCGCCCGGCTTCGCGTTCTCCTGTCAGCTACGATCTTCAAAAATTTAAATTCAACGTCAATCTTCATCTTCTGTCTTTTGTAAACCTGTTCTTTTATTGTCCTTTCTCAATAAAGCTTTATCAGTTTCTTTCACTATCTGAAACACCTTGTGTCTTTTTTAAGATAAAATGATTAAAACAAAACTCTATCTATCCATCTATTTATCTAAGCCTCTTCATATCATAATTTCAATTTCGAAACTTACAAAGGCAAAAAAGTATAGTAAGTGCACTGATTTCTGAAACTTCTACGGTAAATTTACGTCCAAGTTCTTACAACATTAACACATGTCAATGTGAGGTATTTAAAAACACCACCGATAAATGCAAAAACAAAATTGAGTAAGATCGTCCTAGCTGTGCGTCAGAAGCCAGACATTTTTAAATTCAAAATTTGGCGTTTCTACATCTTCAATGTATAATTATAACCAACGTTTACATTTATATCCTCACTAAACATTTCCCACCACTAAAGATATAATTCAACAAATAAGAATATTATCGATGAAAATATTTTAAAAGATGTAACACGTTTCATATATTTTTCTACTTTGTCATTCAATTACTCAGCTTGTCTGGTTACACAGAAATATTTATAACACTTTCTCCCATCTATCTATCTATCTATCTATCTAATTCAGTAGAGTAATATCAAAATTCTTGCATTGTGTTCGCTTTCCCATTGCTGTTGTATTTTTCTTCAATTTTCCTCATTTCCCATTACTGTTGTATTTTTCCTTCAGTATTTCTCATTTTCTGCTTTTAACCTAAATTTAAATGGTTGAAACTTACACTTAAATCAACAACGATGAAAAAATATATACAATACGGGCATTAATTCATGTCAGAATTTCAGAAAACGGACAATATTGCAATTAGCAATAAGCAGTTGAATATATGTTGAAGATAAAGAACGAGAATTCAAATGTTAAATAATTAATATATACTATAAAAACACGAGTTTATTTTTTGTAGTAATATCAATAAATGCAAACGGCAACAATTATTATTGAATTCTTTTGGGTAAGAAATCATTGGCTTTAAAAGTCGTAGACGGATTTGTAATTGTAGAACACCCGAATATTTCATAAGTGTAAACAGAAAGTCAATGATTCCATATGCCGGTGATTCAACGTTAGTCAAAACATCAAACAAAAGAAAAATGGAAACAAAGAAACCCTCATTTATGGCTTCTTCACAGAATTTAATGTTAGCTCTAAGATGTAAGGGAGAGAACAAAATAATTTTACTAGCTACTTACTTCCCCTGAAAAAGAGCTTACGTCCCTTGGATTATCCCTTGCGGCAGTAAATAAATTCTGGGACTCTTTTTATATGCCGTTACGCTATGTTATCAGTTTGAATTTCAAAACCTCTACAGAATCTCACTCTCTGGTACAATTTTATTTTGTATATTTAGTCTGTTTGGTCGTAATGAATTTCCTGACATTGTGAAGAATCATTATCATTGCAAGAATTATTCAAGCAATTGAACTTATTTGAAGTTATTTATGTCGTTCACAGACTTCAAACCATTGTATAACTTTCTCAAAATGTTTTACCCGTATAGAAATAAAAAAAAATGAAGGCAATAGAAAATTCAAAACATTTACAACAAGGCCTGTAATAAAAGTTAGTTAATTTTTAATAACGTTTTCAATACAGTTTATTTCTTAACTTAAACAAGGAGATTTTTTCAATTAATTTTTCTTAAGCAAATATTTCCATACTCCATATTTGTTGACCAACGGAAATTAAACTGCCCTAAAATCCGTAATAGTGGGGCTTATACCTGTCTATATTTCTGAGATGAGGTTTTTATGTACACTATTTACATTATTCGGACTATTGTCCTCATCTTGTCGCCATATTTATTACAACGTTTCGGCTGTTGTACGCTCCGGCTTTCTTCAGTTGGTTGGAATGTCGAACTGAAGCCTTTATTTCGCTCACTGGGGTAGATTGCTCTAATTCCATGCGCCATGTCTAATGAATGTCAGTTATCGGTTATCTCCTGTTATTCCCCTCTCCAAGTTTCAATACCTGGTTAAGGCAGTAGAGAACTTGGAGAGGGGAATTAACATGAGATAACTGATAACTGTGGGACTTATACATTATTATTGGTTAAATCCTAACTTACGATAGGATTGACGTTCACATCTCTGTCTCCAGATCCAATGACATTTAATATTTTTCACTATTTTATCTTCGTCTTATTATAGTATGTATTATAGTATTCATCTTTGGTTGCGTTAATAAGCATAGAGTTTCTTTCTTTAAATATCCTCTGCGCATCTATATATTTACTGTGTCATCTAAAATTACTTCTTTTCTCTCTTCTTAGATATTTGTTGGTCATCATTGGCAATCAATTTTAAACAAGTGAGCCAAAATTTATATTCTCCCTGTTTAACAGTTTAACGCTCGATTCATTTTATTCTTATCGGATCATCGATTTTCTTTTGTATAGTTCCTGGTGTCTGCGTCATAACAACCCTCACTAAATAGTTTTTCCTTCATTCTTAGAAAAGAAGACAAGAACATTTTTATGAGTAATTTGTTGTTTATTTTTTTTTTACTGCAAATATGAAATCTTGTAAACTCACTTGAATTACGTATTCACTTTTAATTCCAAATTTAAAATCTGTTATTTTTTTATATTCAAAAAGTATTTCTGACTTGTGCTTTTAACGCATCGAATGAAAACTGCATAATAATAAAATTATTTAAAATTCAATAAAAATGGCATCAAAGGCTATAAAATAAATTTACTGCGTATTAGATCTAGTGGTAGCGACGAGGTTATCAACGCTGGAAATTATATTTAGTGTGTCTGGTTCAAATTCCATCAAAGCCGCTGCCTTCGCTTTCGAACAAATCGCTTAAAAAGCTACGAATTACTCTCTTCGCCAACATCCATCCGTCTCAAAGTTAAATATCAGCGTATACTGGGCTCACTAGCTTTGGCTGGTAACCGTCCATGTGAAGGACAGTTCTGATTTCAGAACTAGTTGAGCGCAGTGCAAGCGATTCCACCCCGTAAAAACAGCGGAAACCAGTGTAACAATAGCTTGTGACGTTATATTTCATAAGGACGTCTACAAGATTAATATAACCTAGTATGGATTAAGTCAAGAATAAGACTGCAACAACGCGGTATTTATGATTAACACTCTGTATGGACTTGTTCCTTCTATCACAGTTTCGCTAAGAGAGAGAAGGCTTCGGCAGTTTCGCTAAGAGAGAGAAGGCTTCCGCATCTCAGTTTCGCTAAGAGAGAGAAGGCTTCGGCAATTTCGCAAAGAGAGAGAAGGCTTCGGCAATTTCGCTAAGAGAGAGAAGGCTTCCGCATTTTAGTTTCGCTAAGAGAGAGAAGGCTTCGACAGTTTCGCTAAGAGAGAGAAGGCTTCCGCATCTTAGTTTCGCTAATAGAGAGAAGTCTTCGGCAATTTCGCTAAGAGAGGGGAGGCTTCGGCAGTTTCGCTAAGAGAGAGAAGGCTTCGGCAATTTCGCGGAGAGAAGGCTTCGGCACCTCAGTTTCGCTAAGACAGAGAAGGCTTCGGCAATTTCGCCAAGAGAGAGAAGGCTTCCACATCTTAGTTTCGCTAAGAGAGAGAAGTCTTCGGCATCTCAGTTTCGCTAAGAGAGAGAAGGCTTTGGTTAGCTGGTCATTCCTGGAGAAGTATGTCAGAACTTGTGAGTGGCACCTTCGATGGAACCCATTGCCCGGCAAAAGATCGGTTGGACAACCTCAGAACTTGTAGATGAGTCTGGATGCCAACTAAGGGACCTGCCGACAGAGATGTCTGACAGGGATGGTTGGAAAGAACGAGTCAGGACAATCCGCGACGAATTATCGACATGATGATGAAAATGAAGGAAATATTTTGTGAGAAATAAATTGCTAACGTTCAATCTAAGGAAAGATATCCAAGAATATTTAATATGCTTAATTTTCATCTGAAATACTCCAGAACTTACACTGGACACAAACCGCCTGGATACAGATAGAAACTGAATTTCATAAATCCACGAAAATAGAAAGAGGAATCAGACAAGGATGTGTCTTCTCGCCGGACTTTTAACTCTTTTTATTCAATCTCTCCAGTGATACGAACCGAGTTCCAATTTAAATATGGTTCGTTATATTCACATGTTCTCTCTAGTTATGGGTTATTTAGTATGATTTGTATCAGTAAATCTTTATTAGCTACAAAAAATTCTTATAATCGAAAAATATTTTCGAGCTTTAAATAACCTGGAAAAGGTTGATAAACTGTAAAAATAAATCAATCAATAGAACTCATCAGGGAAGAAGAAAATTCAAAGACGTCATTGTTCCCCTGTTTATAGAGCACCTCATGCTCGTTATTTGCTAGCTTTTGACAACAAGACTTTTAAAGGATAAAACTAGCCCTAGCTTATTTCCTAAATAAATTTATGTGGCGTGGTATACTTGGTGATAATGTATTTCATAATTAATATATTCATAATTGAACAATTTATTTTTGCTAGTTATTTCTAAGATAAATAAATGATTTTTCTTGTTTCCGTCACTTTTCGTAAATAGCGGCGTTGGGCCATTAAAATAATCTTTCTTAAACTGCTTTATCGGGCAGGGAGTTTCAATTAAGAGAATCTAGGCGTGGTAAATCATAGGAGGGTCATAATGTCCAAATGGCCTCTGAAGTAGAAATGTTTTTTAAATTGATTCAAACAATCAACGCAATAAAGATGTATGAATAAAAATCGAAAAGATAAATATATACTATCTTTAAGAAACTTAAGTGAAAAGAGGAGAAACAGATCAAATTAAAACGTCTTTTCTTAGAGAAAACAAATGAAAATATATTTTATCTTAAAATATCAACGAAAAAATATAGCAATGCGAAATATTTTGAAACAATGCAAATGATTTGCTCTATTTTAATATAAAGGTCTCTCGTATATAAAGAGAATGTGTTTTAAAGAATATTTTAAAAACATTTCGGGTGGCTAGCAACTCCATCCGGTAAACAGAAACCACAGTAGCAAAACCAAATAGGGAAAGGTTAGCAACAATAACATTCCAAATATGGAAATAGATTGCTAATGAAATATCACATTTAGCATGACGAGAAAGAAAGTGTAATTAAATAAAGACTAGAAAGATTAACTGGAATAGCTGTAAATTTCCCATAGACATCAGGAGTGTTTTAAGCCGATGGGAAAAGAAAGAAAAAAAAACATTTCAAATGTTAATTTATATATGCACATACATCTGTATGCATTCAATGTCCCACCAGACAAATAAAAAAAATTTAAAAAAAACAGTTTCAGGGTTGATCAGAAATTATCCCAGCCGGGAGAGGAGATTCGCCCGCTGTCAGTGGTGACTCCGAGAGGTAAATACTTGGGCAAGGCTGCACCAGATATGTGTGAGAAAAATCGCTGGACAGAAGGAAATAAAAATAAGAAATCCAAAGATGATTTGGACAGTCTCTGAGAGATATCATAGCACAATGTATGTTCCGTGTTCGGTTGTGGGTCCGCCGCTCACGAATTCTGGCTGAAAGAAACTAAGAAAGAATTAGAGTGAAATACAGTGTAAGTTTAAATACGGAAGATCCAAATCTCGTGTTATTCATTTAATCCACACGTGACATCGTTTGGGAATACCAGGTGCTGTAAGGTTGGATGTGCGGATGGTGTAATGGATAATGTCTCTGGGAAGGCATGAAACCGCTTGTTCTCCTGCACCCCCAGCTATATTTTAATCAGTAAGACTTGTAACACTAAATCATTCTTATACCCGCAAAAATCTGACAACCAAAAAAAATTTTTTTTTCGGGGGTTAAAATAACCTGCAATGAGTTGATATGCCTTAAAAACGAATCAATCAATAAACATGTGTCACCCTTCGTCCGAGACCTCCACTCCATTACAAATCTTTTGCACAAGGATTTCTGATGCTGTACAATCATTGTATTTCAACTGTTCATCTCTAGTTTATCCTTTTGATTAGTGAATAGAATGAAATATCAGAGTTTTCTCTCGAAAAAAAATCTCGCCGACGTAAGCGTTATGCTGAGAGGAAAAAGCAACAGGATTTAGTGTGCTGATTTTCAAGGCAGACAGGAAGACTTCTACCTTAGATTTCCCTACAATTTGAATGTATGTATTATGTAGAGAGTTGTTTATTTCTCATTGAACCTCGTGATAAATGTTTTCATAAAAGCTAGACACTGCTGATAGGAATGAATACCATCGTCCTTAAAACATTTAGCAAAGTTTAATGCGAAAATATTTGAAACAATGCAAAGGATTTGTTCTATTTTAATATAAATGTCTCTCGTATATAAAGAGGATGTGTTTTAAAGAATATTTTAAAAACATTTCGGGTGGCTAGCAACTCCACCCGGTAAACAGTAACCACAGCTGCAACACCAAGTAGGGAAAGGTTAAAAAGGTTAAAGGTTAGCAACAACAACATTCCAAAAATGGAAATAGATTGCTAATGAAATATCACATTTTGCATGACAATCAAAAGACGGATATGTAATGTAATTGGCCCTGATCTGACACCTTGTCTGTAGTCGCTCTCTCACAGACGTGCCGTTACCGACCTCTGTCTTTTTTACAAATACTTTCACGGTAACTGCTCCGATGAGCTGCTTTCGTTGATTCCCAGATTACATGAATTTAAGCGTTCAACTTGGCTGGCATCTCGCTCTCACCCTTTCACTATCAAAACTGTTAAATGTAGCTGTCTCTTCTACTCCAATAGTTTCATGTCTCGCACTTCTCGCCTGTGGAACTCCCTCTCTTTTTCCTGTTTCCCAGATAGCTATAATTTCCAACTATTCAAATGTAATGCCAATCGACGTCTCCAGATGCCCTGATCTATCCCCTTAAATGTAGCCGTCTCCTCTACTCCAATAGCTTCATGTCTCACACTTCTCACCTGTGGAATTCCCTCCCCTTTTCCTGTTTCCCTGATAGCTATAATCAACTACTCAAATGATGTAATGTCAATCGATGTCTCCAGATGCCTTGATCTATCCCCTATCCTTCTCTTAATCCTTTCCTTTATCACTCCTCTTTGCTCTCGCTCCAATTCTCTGTAACCCCTTGCATGCTAGTGGCTTCCCGCCTTACTTGGAGTGGAATGCTTAAAAAAAAGAAAGAAAAAGAAAGAAAGGGTATTGATTTTTAAGCAGTCAGGAAGACTTCTAGCTTAATCTTCCCTATAATTTGAATTTACGTATAATGTAGAGAATTGTTTATTTCTCATTAAGCCTCGTGATAAACATTTTCATAACAGACAAAGCTTGCTGATAGGAAGGAATAGCATCTTCCTTGTAACAGTCGTTAAAGAGTAATGCATATCAAATAGATAAATATAAATAAACAAATAAAAACAAAAGATAATGTCAAAATGCAAAAAGAAAGAAGAAATAATATGATGAAATGCACTTTCTCCTGAATACAAACAACATAACTGAAAAAAATAACAACGCCATTTTAACGTTTGTAAAAGTTTTGCCATTTTTCGCCTTATTAAAATAACTTTGATGCATATGTTATAGGTATACCTACATTTTTATTTTTCTGATTTAATTCTACTACAATTTTTTTTTTGTCTCTGAATCATATTCCAACACAAAAAAGATGAATATTGTGTTACTATACAATACCAAATATAGATTATTTTTGTATTTAAAAACCAGTATTCAAAATCGAGACAAGTCACTTATTATAGAAAATTACGACTCTTGACTTTGTCGCGAACAAAGCCTCAGTTCTGGGTAAGACGATAAACTACATCCAACCGTAATGCCTCTGCTCAGGAGGTTTTGAATAGCGTGTAATCATCTCTTAATTGCTGGTGTTCCCAGGTCCACCCTGACCCGGGATGTAGCACCTTTTAGGGTCCCAGCTCCGGGCAAATAGTTAACCCCTAAACTGGGGTCAAAAATATCAAAGTTTAAAAATAGGGTTTATACCGGCAATACATTTTTGTAAAAAAATTATTACCAGCAGTGAATTTTTGAAGAAAAAAAATTTCCCGCAATACATTTTTGGAAAAAAATATTACGAGCAATAAAAAACTTGCCGTCATTAAATAACACGTTGAGGTTGATATGTCTTAAAACAAACCAAACTAAACCCATAACAAAGCCTAATTGTCTGTCTATATCTCTGAGATGAGCGTATAATGGCCGAAACGTTGTGAATATTGCAATGAGGAAGAGGATAATAGTCCGAATATTGTAAATAATGCAAGTAAAGCCTAATTGGTTTATACGTTTGTGATGTTACTTTCAAGAAGAAAATGCCTTATTTGCATATCAACATTTGAAATGATGCCTTACTCATTTAATTAACACTGGAAGGATATATTTCTCGATGTCTGACACAAGGCAAAACACAAATGAGTTATATTAACTAAACTATGCTTAACGTGGTACAAAACGACACGTGTGACGGTGCTCACAAACATCGAACTATTTCTACCAAAAAATGGTTGATGAGCTTAGCCTTGATACACGATGAGATTCCCTTGTTTTTACTATTCATATTTTTTTACAGTTTCAATTCTTCTTCTTTTCTTCTTCTTCTTCTTCTTTTTCTTCTTCTTCTTCTTCTTCTTCTTCTTCGTCCATTGTTTCTTTTCTTTTTCCATTCTTCTCTCTCCTTTCGAAAGTCTTCAAGCTTTTCCGTCTTATTCTTCATTTTTTCTTCCTTAAACACAGGTGACGCTCTATGATAGAAAAACATTTTCGGCATAACTCTTTCAATCATTCTTCGTTGTACATTTGCACGTTACATTTTTCTCTGTCATACTTTATGCTTTCTTTTAGTTTACATTCTATCTATCTATCTATCTATCTATCTATCTATCTATCTATCTATCTCTCTCTCTCTCTCTCTATATATATATATATATATATATATATATTTAAAACATTTTTATTTATGTTTTAACGTTGTTATTTTATAGATACAAGTATTTAAGCAAATGCTCGTTTATGATAGACAGTATTAAATAACATTTACCGGCCTGAAAAAATTTTCATAGAAAATATTTCAGGTCGAACATTTCTAATGTTATAGGCCGGAAAATACTGTTTTCATAAACAGAACATTTGCTTAAATACTTGTATCTATAAAATAACAACGTTAAACATAAATAAAAATGTCTTTAATAAATAAATTGTCGGACCTCGTCCATTTCTTAACATATATATATATATATATATATATATATATATGGTTGCTACTTAAATATGTGATCTGTCTTTCGGGTCTAATCTCCTAGAACAACCCATCACTGATCTATGAATTGAGAAAATTCTCTCTATTAAAATATACATTAAAAATAGATATAAAAACAGATTAAGACAAGAAAAAGAAGGCATTATTATTATTTCAATATTATTTTAATTATTATTTTAACTGATACTGTCATTGTATACAGTTTGGACATCATTCAGAAATGCAATAAATAAATGTTGCGCGTTGGATCGCATAATTTTTCAGCAGATGAAATTCAAATGAGATTATGTTTGGACAGATACACTTCTCATGAGCATGTAGATAAGTTTCTTTAAGGTAGATTAGATATCTAAGAAGAATCCTGTACGTAGATTATATACTTAAATGGCGCCAGAACTATTTTATATTAGAAACCTATTATACCGAAAACCATTCGTAAACTCCTACAGTCAATTTAGCCCAAATGAAATGGCGTGTTTTCATTTTGATCTTGACGATACGACCGAAAGTTCAACTTTGTGTTGATCGTAGCCATTGATCTCCATATATCATCGTCCTGACCTTTGTCCTGGAGATGTCATTCCAGTCTCAGCAAGCGGGTAGAAGAAAAACACAGACATTATATTGTAGATGCCTACTACTATTATTAATAACTATTTATGTTTGAATTTTTATTATTATTAATAGCAAATTTTTTCTTGCGTACATAATTTTCTTTAAGGTAGATCACAAATTTAAAAAAAATTATGCACTTAGATCACATAGGGCAATAGCAATTACGAATGTCAGTGTGTTTGTGTGTGTGTTCAAAACAGAATTTGGCTTTCAATGTGAGCAATTGCATACGTTTAATTCCGCAGTTATAACATTGGACATCACTGTGAAAAAAAAAGAGCAGGCGCCGCTCGCACACAGGTTTCTCCGGGCCGACTCAACCCGGTCAAGTCTGGAGCTCTTTTACTAATAAGTCGGATCAAAAGCACAATTCGGGTTTTGTTTGATCAGGAGTCTCTTACGCGGATCAGAGGGAAATAACTGGAAAATAAACGATTGTTTTAAGCAAAACACACCCACTACTAAAGGGGAGACGAAAAAACACAAGATCAGAATTAAAATGAGGCTTAGGGATTTACTCTGGACTGACCAATCAGATGTCAGGCCTAAATTAACTCAAGTAATGTAATAACTTAGATCATAACATAACGTTGCTTAAAACTGAATCCTAGACCAATTTATTTGTGGCAGACCATTAATCCAAAATATAAGCGAATGGCAATACTGTATCGTAAAATATGGACAAAAATAACTTGTTCAAATTTCCAAAGAAAGCTACGGTGTCGGGATGGGTGGAAAGGTAGCGATGAAAGATAATTCAATCAGTTTGTTGTAACATAGACGATGTAGAAAATAATTAAAAGGTCCCTTTAATAAACCAGTGAATACAATTTAACCGTTTAAAAATAATAAAATCAAAATTCAAAATCAACTTTAGATCTAACCAGAATACAACCATTAAGTGGGCGAAAAAAAAAGGAGCATCTATATAAGATGTCAATAATACTGACTGAGAATCACTCTAATGTCATTGCGTTTAATTTACTTACGTGTATCAATCCCATACATTGAGTACTCTTATATTATGATTATGACACAAGGTCTATTTTACAGAAATTTTAACTAAAAATCACTCAGCATAGTTGCAGTATCAACAGGGATTATAATGAAACAGCCAATCAGGCAGGCAAACGCAGTGGCTAGTCATACGATATGTGTATATGTGCGCGACGAGTTGATTTGCAGTTTTATTTTTCTGACATTATACTATTTAAATAGCCATCATACACACACAAATTATATATATATATATATATATATATATATATATATATATATATATATATATATATATATATATATATATATAGGGCATTTTGCGTTAACGAATTAAGTATTGAATGTATTATCGAGTTCCCCATGTGGTCTCGGAATTCTAATAGTGCCACCTGAAACGGATGTAATGTCAATTTAGGTTCAGACACAATATGCACTCTGGGTACCAGATGTTGATTGATAGATGGGGTGCAGTTGTTTTTTCAGCTGATACTAAATTCTTGATGCAGGAATTTGAAAAAGAGAGATCTCGAATGGAATGAGAGTTTTATATATATATATATATATGTATATTTAAAGACATTTTTATGTTTAATATTCTTTTTATAGATACAAGTATTTTAAGTAAATGCTCTATTTATAAAAAAACAGTATTAAATAACATTTACCGGCATGAATGTCTGAGAAATTTTATAGAAAATATTCGTCCTTCGACAGGATATATTGTAGGAAAATTTCTCGGACATTCAAGGCCGGTAAATGTTATCTAATACTGTTTATGTCTTTAAATAATTGTCGGACTTTTGTCCATTTCATATATATATATATATATATATATATATATATATATATATATATATATATATATATATATATATGTGTGTGTGTGTGTGTGTGTGTGTGTGTGTGTGTATAAATTCAATTTAAGTATCTCTGAGTTGTTGCCTTTATGTATAAAATTCACAGCCCTGAGGTGGAATTACCCTAACATTGACTTATTTCTCATCCCCTACGATTGTGTAAATTCGGTTTTCCGCCCAGATACATTAGCCAGATTGAGACGGCTGACGAGATATTTCATCGTCTAGGAGAATATTACAAAATATGAAGAATTTATTTGCTTTGTTTTTCTCCGGTAGCGAATAAGAGAGTGGATTAGAGAAAGCGTTGTATCATGTATTGGCTTAGTAGTTATTACGCCTTTGCAAAAATATATGTCTGTCCTAAATGATTCCTTCTTCATCTGCGTGCGGTGTCGATTCAGGACATGAGCAATTATGCCACTCCAAAATTTCCTGTCCTTTATAGGTGTGTTAATTTTTTTTTTTTTTTTTTTTGGTGTGTGTTTTGTCGTTTTTGTTTTGTTTTGTTTTTACTATCCCTCTGAGGGCTTGTTCTGCCAACCATTTACATTAGGTAGGTTATTCACTATATCCCTCAGTTCATTTTAGCTTCAAAATGTCATGTGAATGATCAAGGTCTTTTTCCTCATTATGTGCGCTATAAATTCCACCTAAAACTATGTACTTAATAAAATTAGTTTATGCCTTATCCTTTTGTATTAAATCTTAAAAAAGGTAATATTAAGATAGGTTTATTTCTATTGATGTGCAAGCATAGACCTTTATGTTCAAGGCGTAATATTACTATATATTTATTAATATGAATTTATAACATAGAATTATATGCTAGATGTAATATTATGATATAAATGTTTCTATTAATGCATCACACACTATTATATTCAAGATATAATACTAAGATACATTATGTTATTCGAAATGGCGCCCGTGTAATGGTTAACGAGGTTAGCAATGTTTATCATTGCTAACGAATAGCGAATTCGACCCTCAATGTGTGTCTGATTAATAATTCGAGATGAAATAAATCAACAAATTTTAACATAGCGAAAAATAATCAACCAACAAATCATAAGATCCGATAAGAGAAATGAGCCAAAATCAATCATTTTTTAAAAGATGAAGAAAAAATTTTCTTAAGACGACTATGTTGAAGCGGAAAAATAGGATGAAACACGATGAAGATTAGTCACCATATAATTAATGTGCAATAATAATAATTATACACACACACACACACACACACACACACACATATATATATATATATATATATATATATATATATGCATGTATTTATGTATTTGCATATATATATATATATATATATATATATGTATGCATATGTAGAATTTATTTTAAGATATTACATCGAAAACATCGATACACAATTGCAGTCGTCTTTCAGTGCGTATTAAATGCATCTCATCAGGCGATTGTAAATTAGAGTAAATTAGAGTAATTTACAATCGCCTAATGAAATGCATTGATACGCATCGAAACACGGCAGCAAATGTGTAGCGATTTGGACATATATCCTAAAAATAAAGAATATTTCTCTACATTTTATTGAGCACACTTTTAAATTAAATGTTACGACGGGTGGAATTGTACTTTATTCGTTCCCTTCTTACCTGGACACACACACACACACACACACACACAAACACAAACACAAAAACACGCGCGCGCGCACACACAAAAACACGCGCGCGCGCACACACATATATTCATATCATCTCGGAAACTAAAACGAGAGCTCGAGTATTTATAAGTTTTTCTGCAGATGCCACCAGTTACTAATGGTGTGAAGATGATTAAATAATAAGCCAAATCGGCAACAGAACGAAGATTAGGAGGAACAGTTAAAAAAAACAAAAAAACAAAACTGACTATTTGATAATTGAAGAAAACTATTCCATGGACATTTTAGAAAACTGTTAGCAGGAATTGCAGATAAGACATTGTTGTGAAGAAGACATCTGAAAAGAGAAAATAAATCGGTATAATTGGCTAAACAATTATATTGGACCTGATTATATTAAATCCAAGATGAGCAACACACAACAAAATAGTAATTATAATAAATACGGAGATACAAATGTCATTGTCAATCGAGAAAAAGCAAAAGTCGTATGCTAGCTCAGAAGGATTATAAAAATAAGCATAACTTGATTGGAAGAGTGAGACATAAGGAAATTTGTTAATGACAGTGGCTTGACTAAACAAATTAGGATC